GGGGGGGGGGGGGGGGGGTGAACCACATCGGGGCAGGAATGAGACAAAAGAACCAGAAAGGGAAGGAAGGGTCTCAAAAGAGGCTCCTCTCCATACCCCACGTGTACAAAGATGAGACGCAACTGCCAAACTCAACTTGTATAGGCACCAACCCATGCACAGACACACACATATACCTTCAAACACACAAAACCCAAGTGCCCACCACCAGTTTATACGTAGGCCCAAAACACGCGCCCAGGGTGTGCAAGCACCCATAACACAAAACACCTCCATGCCAACCACACACACCCCTGGCAGCCAAAATCATCTCATCTGTCCCCTTCATACGCACGCCCAGAGGCACCTCCTGCTTTATGGAAGCCAAGAGGGTTTCGTTATAATCGCACAAAATTGCAGGCAATTGCCGCTGACCTAAGGAGGACAGTTGGTGTTACAAATGCAGGATGAAAGACTCATTGAATTCTCCTCTGCTCCCCCTTGGGGGATGCTAGTTCTCCTTCCAGTTAAAGACTCAACAGACACACACCCCTCTTTTTTCAGCCCTGCTATGCAGAACCCGCTGAGAGAAGGCACCGAGGGAGCAAGGGCAATGCCATCTGTCAGGACAGAGATGAACATGAACAAGTGGCTCCTTTAGGTGAGGCTGAGAACTGAGAGACGCCGGCTGGGTGAGACACAGCAGCGATGTGTATGTAGGCACTTCTATGGCTAAGCACCCCACCGCTGTCAATACCTTTTATCTTTGCAATGCTCCTTTGAAGGAAGGAAGGGGAAGAGGGGCGCAGAGCACATGAAGTAATTTGCCAATGCTCACCCGCAAGAGCTTTGCGGGAGCAGGGCAAAGAACCCTGGCGTCCTGGGTCTGCGACTAGACCCCCAGCCCCTACCTCTTCCTTCCTCCCCACAACTCTAGCCTTGAAAGAAGATCAATGACTTTGTGGCGAAGGCACGGCCCTGGGAGATCTGGATTCTATTCCCAACTTTGACACCGTACTATATAATTTTGGCCTAGTCACTTAATCTGTCAGCATCTCAGTTTCCTCATTCATAAAACACAGATGATTCTTGCCAGCCTCTCAGGGGTATTGTGAAGGTAAGCTCTTCAATGGCTGGGCGGTGGGAGGCTGCAGCGCGGATGTAACACAAATTTGAACAGAGATGCATCTCCCAGACCCTCGCTGCTTGGGATATTTGCAAGAGACAGCAGCTTTTATCGCATATTCTGGCCACTGAAACCCTGACCCCAAGCCCCAGGAGGACCGGCGTTGGCACAGGACAGACGAAACCGAGTGAACAGGTATCTCACAAACTGAAACCCGAGTCAGGTGACAGCTGGGTAACCAGCGGATGATT